ATTATTTGATTTCAATATGGGTGAAGGTATGGACAGCTATTTTGAAGAAAACAAGAGACAATATGGTAGCCATTATTGATTTCCTATTGTCTAGTTTTGAAGACCTATAAGGCTCTCATTTGTTGGTTTTAATTGCTTTTATACTATATTGTTTTGTACCAACTTATTGTGTGTGAAGATATGGAAAACTATTTTTAAGAAACAAGACATATTATGATAGCCACTGTCCATTTCCTGTTGTCTTGTCTTGAAGTCCTGTGTTTTTTTGTGTTTTTTTACTGTGACCTGTTTTGTTTTCTTTTGGTTTGATTTGAATTCTTGATGACTAAGGAGTACTACTAAGACCTATTTTGTTCCCACACTCATGATTTTGTGTCTGAATGCTGAAACTTGCCCTGCCTTCCAGCTTGCAGTGGTAAGTCAGCAGTGTCCACGCTACAGTAGTAGTCACTCCAACACCACCCAGTTTCTATGTCCCTCTGTGTACCCCAATCATGGCTTTCTTCTCCTACCTTTATGGACTTTGTGCTTATGAAGTGTCCTCCCTGTACATAAACTCCAAGTTGTACTGTCTGAATGGAAGTGAATTCATCCTCACCTTAGCAGACAAAGACTTAGCAGAGTAAACAAACAGACCAATGAGCTCTGTGTTGGATATAGATGATGTAGCTAGATTAGGAGTTTTGGAGTTGGGGTGGAATGGCTTAATGGATTTAAATTTAATACTTTCTGACCTAGCCCTTTCCAAAAGCCATTCATGATTAGTTTGACTTTTAAACTTAGAGGAACCTTCCAGCCTGAATTTAAACTTCTCAGTTAGGTGTATGTCTAGCCCATGCCCTTTATGCATGGTCTTGAGGCCTTCTTTCATCCAGTCACTGTGATAGCATGACACCAGAACCTAGAAGTATAGCTGTTCTGTAGTTCAGTCTTAAAAACTTAACTTATTCCCAGAATGTGTCCTGATTAAATACTCTCAAATATGGCTGGCACTACAATAGATTTCTTTTCCAACTCTATCTTACCATGTAGAAGGAGTTATTTTCAAAGTACACCCAACACTGTCTTTGTAGTTTACAATAATAATGGGTTTTGGGCGGGACTAGTGCTGCTACCCTGATCTGTTCTTCATCTTTGGGTCTGCTAATCTTCTACAGGCTTACCTCGTGTCAGTGAAAATAGGTCCCTCTCCCTGGGACCTAGGGTAAGCCTTCCAGATTGTTTAATTTTCATTGCACTGTGCTCCATTTCTTCTGGTTCTCTATGGTTTCACTATAGTTTTCTTGTCACCAAATTTTTTCTCTTCACTAAATTTTTGTTTTTCCAGGTGTCTCAGTTGCAGTTCAGAGAGGCTACATTTTTCTGGTGGTCTCTCCTCTGGAATTTTTAATGCTTCCTTGACAAACCACTGTCAATCAACGGTATATAATGGACATCTATACGCTACATTTAATACCAATAGAATATATATTCATCTCGTTTAAATCAAACATTCACTGGTATATAAATTATTATGGGGCATAAAACATACTTTAAAACATTAAGAAATAAAATACAGAATTTCTTCTCCAAAAATTATTTTAAATTTAATAAATAGGAGACAGGTGATCTAGACTGTATAGATTTGATCAGAAAGGTTACTGGAAGTATAAAGTTCTCTAACATCACTTTACATACATTTCACATAACTGAAACATTCCCTTGTCTTTAAAAACATTGTTCTTAACAAAATATTAATTAAGGTAACTTACCTAAACCTAAGCATACAAAATCAGCTCTCAAACCACAGTGGAATTAAGCTAAAAATCAGCAACAGAAGGCATAGTAACCTATGCCTGTAGCTCTAGCTACTCAGCAGGCTGAGCTCTGGATAGCTTGAGGCCTGGAGTTTAAAAACAGTCAGGGAATTGGTATAGTCACTGGAAATCAGTGTGGAAATTTCTTTAAAACTAAGATTAGAGTTTCCATTCAACCCAACTATTCTCCTTCTGGGTATTTTCCCAGAAGAATTAAAAACATCTTATCACAGCAATATATGTCCACCCACGTTTATAGCAGCACAATTTGTAGTAGCTAAATCTTGGAAACAACTCAAGTGCCCATCAACCAAGGAATGGATAAAAAGGATGTGGTACTTTTACACAATACAGTACTACTTGGCTATAAAGAAGGACAAACGAAGCTTTTATAGGTAAATGGATGCAATCTGCTCATAAGTGAAATAAATCAGACTTACACATGTAAATATTATATTGTGTTGCTAGTGTAAAAAGTGGAAAATGTAAGATAAAAAATATACAGTAGATATTGTGAAAGGGGAAGAAACTGCTCATAAAGAAAGAACAACTGCAATGGGGGAGAGAAAAAAAGAAAGAAGATCAAAGAAAAAATATATATGCACAAGATAGCTAAGAAAATTACACTGCTGATTTTTATTAGTTCATTGAAAATAGTTTGTGCTTGCATTGCTTGATCAATTTTTCATGCTAATATCATAATCTGAGCAACTACTTTAAAGATAATAATACTCAATGTATTAACCATTGTTAATCCCTTATTAGCTTGTTTTGAAATTCTATATCAGTTTTTTATTGCCTTTTCTCTTTAAAATAAATAAAAGAGAACTCTTTCCCCCAAAAAAGAACAGTCTGGGAAACCTAGTGAGACACTGGATCTTTCAAAAAAAATAAAATCATAAAGATAACTAGAAAAATCTCAAAATATGTGGAGATTAAATAATATATATAAATAACATATGGCAAAGAAAAATAACATTGTGGAAAAGGTAAAACTACGGAAATTAAAAAGAACAGTAGTTACTAGGAATTGGAGGAAAAGAGAAACAGGTAGCTCACAGATTTTAAGGGCAGTGAAAATGTTTTATATAGTACTGTGGTGGTGGCTGCAGTATTTGTGATTACATATTCTTCCAAACCCACAAACTGCACAACAGGAAGAGTGAATATTGAAAATGACCTTGAGCTTTTGGTAACAATGATGTGTCAATTTGGGCTCATTAACTGCAACAGATGTAGCATTCTGATGGAAGATGCTGATACACTAGTAGGTTATGCATTTGTTGGGACAGAAGGTATTCAGGAATCTCTGAATGGTACTTTCAGGCATGCTGTTAATCTAAAACTGCTGTAAAAAGATAAAGTCTTTACATTATGTTTTTAAGTTTAGGATTTGCATATTATATGATACAATGTGTCACAAATACTCAACTCTGCCATTAGAATACAAACCAACCATAGGTAAGCAAATGAACATTAATGTGTTCCTATCTAGCTTCATTTATAAAAACACTTCACATGCCATATTCAGTCCATGAGTATAGTTTACCAGTCTTGCTGTATATACTTGAACTTGGTTTGTCTCTCTAGTTTTGGGCACTCTTCGCTGTTCTTTGTATAAGTTGTCCCTATATAAGCCTTCAACTAGACCTTAGCTGCCTTAGAGGATTTAAGCAAAACTTACACCTAAAAATGAGATACCACTTTCTACCAAACCTGCTTTTCTCACTACAGCTTGTATAGTAATGATTGGCAACACTGTTCATCTAGGCATTTGTCTGGACTTCTCTACCTCCTTATCTGCCACTGGTCAACAAATGTGGCTGATCCTCTTCCCCAAACAGTGCATCTACCTCCTGTTCTTGCTCTCTTTATTCTCTGTCTAGGCCCTGACCCTTAATATCTCTTGGTTTGACTAGTGTAATGTCTTCCAGCAAGACAGATTATTTGCAGTCCCCCAATTATGCTGTAATGTTTTACCCATCTTCACCATTATGTATTTCCTTTTGCCTGTTGCCCTACCCTTTTAACTCCTACTCCTACCTCTTATCTTTTTGAGCTCCTACTTCAGTCTTTATTCAAAATCAGGCTGAGACAGTCCCTTTCACATTTAACCACTGCCTTCTCAAAACTACTTGGTTTAAACAAAATATCCTTGAAAATCCCAAAATATGCATTCTAAGAACCCCAAATTCAAGACAAATTGGAAAATTTAAGTATCCATATCGGTACTTTAGGGCTTTAATAATTGTTCTGTTAAATACTGAAACTTAAACTCTTCAGTAAGATCATCACTTCAGTAACATGAATCTTTAACCTACGCTGAAAAATTTATTACTTCAAAAATTTATTGCATATACAACCATAAATCAGGCACAAGAACAACGTTTCAGAACACCTCATTCCCACATGGCAGTCAATGTGAGTCAAATATGGACTCAGCAAAATTACAATTTTTTCCTGAAAAAGACCTTTGGAAATCATTAATGCAGTGAGTGTCAAGTCCAAAAATATCAATATCCTATACTATTTCTCCTGCCATGTAAAAATACTACTGTTTCATGAGAATGTGAGCTTCTTGGATGTAGTCCACTGTTTTGTCATTCTTTTTTATACCAAAGTTCACATAATAGAAAGCAATCATTTTAAAGGTGTTTGTTTAATTAAACTTAGTCTTAACTGGTCTCCCTGGTTCCAGGCCAACTTTCTGTCCAAAATCCTGGCAGTTTTTTGTTTGTTTTTGTTTGTTTTTTTACAAAAACTAATCTCTGATGTCACTCAGTTGTCCCCAAAACTTTTGATAGCTGTTTATAATCTCCTTTCCAGAATTACATCACTGTACCCTGACAGAGCATGAAAGAAGTTTCACATCTCCTGGCTTTATTCCCAGTCTCATCAGCACTCTTTCTTTTTACACAGGCTCTATTCATGTCACACTCGTTACTGGAACACTTTTGGACATTTATTTTCCATATCTTTGCAAAGCCTGTTTTCTCTATCCAAAAGGACTTTCTGGTCTCATCTGCTTGGAAAACTCTTATTAATAAATCTCAATTTAAATATCATTACCTTTGTGGCTTTTCTAGGCGCCTTCCAGAATCACCATCTCACTCATTTATTTTTCTGTATCATTATGTTTATTCTTAAAATACACTTAGCCGATTCTGCAGGGAGAGGCGAGAGGGATTGCTGTCAGTGACTTACCCCAGCAGTGACTGCAGCACTACGTGTTAAGCATGTTGTTCAAGCAGCAGTGAAAGGATGGGTCTGGATGACCTTTAAGTCACAAGATGCAATGGTATTCATTTTCAAGCTGTATATGTACTCTTTGGAGGGGGTAAAGAGAGGGAGATAAAAAGTGCAGAACAAAAATAAAGACAGAGACAGAGGAAAAAAATTGGAGAGCAGAGGGTGGACGCAGTGCAGTAACAGAGGATGGGGAGGACCCAAAATTCTGCTTTACAATTTTGCAGAGACTCAGCCCGGCAGCTAAAACTGAAGCAAAGGGTGGGCGGGGTGGGGAAGCGATGGGCGGAAAGGGGAGGGACTGCAATCCCTCTGAGTGAGCCCAGCCTCAACTGCTTGACCCATCACCTCCCATTCTAACAGGGCCAGTTTCTCCCCACCGCGACTTACGCCTTTTGTGTTAGGGAGGGTGGATCCAACAGTGCAGCCCCACAGGTGGCACTAGCTAAGTTAGAAGGTTCCCGCCAGGCTATGCAGTGGAGCGCCGCACAGCGGCCTTCCAGCCTCCTAGCCGCCGCCCCAGCAGTTCCTACCCAGCGCCAACAGACCTGCTCGGTCGATCTTCGAGCCGAAGATGCGGCGGGGGTGGAAGATGGCCATGTCTGGGGGTCTGCGGTGCTGCCGCCGGGTACTGTCCTGGTTGCCAGTGCTCGTTATTGTCCTCGTCGTGCTCTGGTCCTACTATGCCTACGTCTTTGAACTCTGCCTGGGTAAGTGGGGCTGGGCACCTAAGGTGGGGAAATTATGCTCCAGCATAATGGTCTGCCCTACCCTTCATACTGGTGTCCCTGTCTTCTCAGCCCTCACTCTGCTGTTCTTTCGCTGCCTTTACCCAGCTTCTGGCTTTCCACATTATCTGCTACGTCCTCCCTTGAGAGTCCCACCAGGTCGCCATCGTCTCCAACCTAAGAATTCTTCTCTTTGCCCTAACCGCAATAATTTCCAGTTTGTTACGCAGGGCCCCCTTTTCTCACTTAGGACAACCACTTGCGCCTGATGCTCTCTTCTCTCCTCTTTCCCAATTGAAGAAAGCACATACCCTGTGTGCTGAAGCCGCTCACATTATGATTCCCATTAGTGCATCAATTGGGAGCCCTACCATTTTTCCTCCTGCTAGGATTCTGTACTAAGGATTTCCTGTTAAGAATCCAAACGTGTTTCTTGACTACCTTACTAACTGTCTTACCCCCTCCCCCATTTAAATCCATCCTTCCTCACTCCTGTCTCCCTAGCTGAAATGCTTCATATATTCACCCACTTGTGATTGCCTCACAATACACACTGATCTGAACCACTGAGGTATCTCTTTTTTACATGAATACAAGCTCTCCCATTCTTTCTTTGTATGCTCTCTCCACTTTCTTCAACTACTCTGATGGAATGGAGTTTCTACACAATTCTCTCCTTTCACACTACAGCCCTTGTTTTTGTCACACTGGGATTCTTTTAAGTCTTTCTGCCTTTTTTCTTGGATGAGTGGTCAATATCTTCCCATTAGGGGACCCCATATTGTTTTCTGACTCTTCATATTAGAGATCCTGCTTTTCTCACATGTTAATCCTGCCTTGTCACTGGTCTTCTCACACTATTCTCTTTATCCTTGTGAAAGTGTTCCCACAATTTCTATTCTATGCTTCAAAAGGCTACTGCTTGTCTAATCATGATTCCTCCTTGATATAGTTTCTCAGAAATTTATTCCCCACTTCCTGTAGTCTTTACCCGCTGTTGATATCACATTCTGTCATCCTCTTATTTCCTCTAGGATTGTACTTGCTCCTATGTTCTCAAAGTGAGGAAACCTCTCCTCTTCCTATTGAAGTTTCTAATATTTTTTTACTCCTGCCAGTGGGAGTTTCATTTCTTGTACCTTCTCATTAGTTCACCCCTCTTATGACACTTGTATTCTCATCTATCACAACAGGATGCACTCCATCACTTTCTTTTTTTAGCATGGTTTCCACAGTATATCTTGTACTTTCAAATTCAGAACTTTACAGTATTTCCCAGCACCAACCCCCTATGTCCCATCCTTACATTTTCCCACTTGAATCCTTCAAGTCCTCTATCCTTTTATTAATGGTCTTCAGTAGTCTTTGTTTTATATCCTGTTCCTCACAGCAAAGTTCCTGCTTTTTTCACAAGGAAATTTCCCCTTGCCCTTGTCTTTTCACATTAAGGAAATCCATCTCTTCTCAAAAGACATTCCGCTAATATTTATCATCTCTTCAAAACTAGAATCTCGTTACCAGCACTTTGAAACTTGTGTCTACAATGTTCCCTGTTTATTTATTGTGGGGTTCCTATTTCCATCATGATACAATTACCACTTGCCCCATGGGACATTTCAAACCCAAGCATTTCTAAAACTCTATTTTTTTTTTCAAATCAGAGCTTATTCATGTTACAAATCATGAATAAGGTGCTGTTTTTTCAACACCAGAACCTGACTCCACTTGCAACCACCTTCTGTACATATTTGAGAAAGTAGTATTCTACACGATGTAGACTGGAATGAACTGGGAGAGAAAATATTTAACTCTTTTTTTCTAATATAAAACTTGAAGAAGGCTATTCTAATCACCTCTATACATCAAATCAGGTATTAATTTTTCTCACATTAGAAAAACTATAGAAGATGTAGAAAGACTTCCTAAAACAAATTTCATTAGTTTCCTTCATAGATACAAATTTAAGGGTTTTTGTTCTTTTTTGTCAATCTGGAATTAAGGATCATTAACCAGACTATATAATGACTGAGAAATTTTCCTGTTCTGAGACACTTGGCATTTTTGAATGATTGATTAAATGGTCTTAAGTTTAGCTCCAATATTATGGTATGGACATTTCTTCTAGGGTCAATGCCATATTTTAAGCACCATTAAACATTTTGAAGTTTTTCAGTACTGACTCACATCATTTTCTACAATAAATCTTTTTTAAAATGAACAATGAAAGGGCCAGAGCTGATAAAATAAAATCAGTAATGACAATGCCTAATTCATACATAGTGCTTACTTTGTGACAGAAAATGTTCTAAGTACTATAAATATAGTAACTGCATATTAGCTTATTTATTTCTCATAGTCATACGAGGCAGATGTAATTACTGTTCCTAAATGCAGATATGTAACCTGAGGCACAGATGAGCAAATTAAGGTAAAGACCAATTTAGAATCTGTGCAAATAGTTTCCTGTAACTCATTGTTTAGTCATAAAATATTAAAAGCTGAAAGAAAATTTAGAACTTATTTTATTTCTATACTTACACAGTACTTGCTACATACCAGTTACTGTTTCTAATTGACTATACACGAGTACACACACACGCGCACACACACACACACACACACACACACACACTATTTAACCATCTTAAAAACCTTATGAGGTACATGCCATCACTATGCCAAGCTTCCAAAGAAATTAACTGAGGAATGGGTAAATTAAGTTATTTATCTAAGGTCATAAAACCAGTAAGTAGCCAAACTTGGATGGCAACACAGTCGATAGACTCCACAGCCAACACTCTTACCCACCATACTACCTTAATATCTTGCCTCTGTTTAATTAATACAGAGGTCAAACCTTGTGACTCACAAGCTAGGAAAAAATCTGTGAATGTATTTGGCTTGGACGGTGTTTCCTTCATATTTCGTATCAGTTACCATTATTTCAAGACCAAGATAATCTGGGCACTTTCATCCACACCTGTAGTCCTAGGACTTGAGAGACTGGGGCAGGAAGATCATTTGAACCCAGGAATTGAAGATCAGCCTGAACAACATAGTGAGACCCTGTTTCAGAAAAGAAAGAAAGATAGAAAGAAAGAAAGATAGCAAGAAAGAAAGAAAGAAAGAAAGAAAGAAAGAAAGAAAGAAAGAAAAATAAACAAAGTGAATAAGGCAGCCTTAATGTTCATTTTTCACTTCTGGTTCCACATTTCTAACTTGATATCTTCATTTTATAATTGTTTCAAAAATGAGCAACATGGGTTGCAAAAAAGTTAAGTCAATTTTTTCCTAAAGTCACAAGTTTAATAAAGAGTAGAGAATTAGAAGGCAAAGCTCTCTGACATCAAGATCATATCATTTCCAATGCAACCAAAATAAAACATTAGAGTTCCAACATGATTCAAAAAGTAATATTAAAAGAATTTTTTCTAAGGACAAACGCTGATGACATTTTCCCAAATATTGTATCAGCTTACAGCTAAAACCAAAGTGATTTTTATGGTAATTTATACAGTTTGAATTGTGCCAGTTACTAGCTAGGAGACCTAGGGTAAGTTAACTAATCTCTATCAACTTCAGTTACCTCACAAGTACCTTGCTTACATGATTGTTTATTCATACCACAAATAATTTTCTCTATACCTACTATATGACAAGCATTGCTGTCATGAGGTTTAAATAATACAGTACCTGAAAAGCATAAATCATAATTCATAGCACATTGTTAATGGTTCATTAGAAAAAATCCTTTATTAACAATAAAAGATTCTGATTTACATAGAAAATAAAAGACTTAAACTTTGAGAGGAGGAATGTAACAGTATCCATCTTAGTTAGATAAAGTTTACACAACATAAATTAACCATTTTAACATATCCATTTTAGTACATTCACAGTGCTATAACCATCACTTCTACAATAATTCCAAAATATTTTCATCACCCCAATTGGAAACCTCGTAAGCATTAAGCCATCACTTGCTATTCTCTTCTCCCCTCCTTTCCTCTCCCAGTGAACCATTAAGCTACATTCTGTCTCCATGTATTTACCAATTTCTGATGTTTCAGATAAATAGCATCATATACTATTTGTCCCTTAGGGATTGGTTTCTCTCAGTTAACAATGTTTTCAAGATATATTCACATTGTAGCATGCAATAATCTCTTCTTTTTCACTTTATTGGTACATGTTTGTAATTCATGTAGTTTACAATCATCTGGGGGAGTGGTTATATATATACATATTTGTTTTTAAACCTCTCCTCTCCTCCTTCCTTTACTCCTCGGGTTCTGCAATCACCTTTTATTGTACATATTGATACTATTTGTCTTAGCACATGTTATGGCTTATGATGTTTACACTCATTAAGGTTGTTAGGTTCCTATACATGGCATATCTTTATTCCTTGTTTCCCCTTCTCTTTCTGCTTCTCCCTCTCCTTGTTCTCTTGGTCCATTTTCCTAATGGACAAGATCTGTCCCCCTTTTTAATCCATCTTTTATCATTTTCTTTATTTATATTTTTGCTTCACTCAAATGAGGGATACCATATGGTATTCAGGCTCATATATCTGGTTTGTTACATTCAGTATTATGTTTCCCAGGTCCATCCATTTTCCTATAAGTGCCTCAAATTCGTCATTCATTATATCCAAGTAATATTCCATTATATCAAGAAAGCACATTTTGTTTATCCATTCATCTGTTGATGTTTATATGGACTACTTACAGGACTTAATTATTATGAATTGTGCTGCTATAAACACTGATGTGCAAGTATTTCTGTAGTATGATGACTTAAGCTTTTGGGGGAAGATACCTAGTGGGTGGATAGCTGGGCCAGATGGCATTTCTAATTTCAATTAATTGAGGAATCTCAGTACTTTTTGCCATAATGGTTGTTCTAGTTTGCATTCCCACCAGCAACGTAGACTAGTACCTTTTTTGCCAAAACAACACCAACATGTGTTACTGCTTGAT